TAAGGCGCGTTATTTGTTTTATTGTGGAATTTTTTGTGATTGTAACTTATAGTTCATGCGCGTTCTTACGTTCTATGTTCTACCTGTACGTTATCACACTTGCTTTATGCTATCGATAAAGAGCCATTGCTCGAAACGTCTAGCTATTTTAATAGTTATGTTAGGACTACGATTACCAAATATTATCTTCAATATATCATACTTATCAGTCCGAGCAGCGTTTATTTATTTATAAACTACTATTACAGTTAAATGTAAACACGGGACAAGCATACGTTTTTATTAACACATAACAACCGACTGGAAGAGGTTAAAGGTTACAAAAGAAAATTACAAATAAAAAAATAATCAACTTACAATGGCTAATAGTTTAAAGGACAACAAAACAGACTAAATTGAAGTTAGTAACGGAAATAAAATGAAACATCAACAAAAAACTATAAACTGAATATAAAAACAAAAACCCAATGACCACATAATAGATATATATATTTAAAAAAAAAAGTCAATGACTAAGTAGGTGCTGCTTCTGTGCTGCTGTCTGAATAACAAAGCTGTATTTCAGATATTGTGCCAGAGGAATTGTTAAGATATTATTGGACATTATTTTTATGAATTTATTTTCAGATGTCTGGAATAATCTTTTCAGCTTCATTGTATAAAATGACCCTCTCTTTACTATATACTGGACATATTATGAAGAAGTGATGTTCATCTTCAATATCATTTTTATTACACAATTCGCAGATTCTGTCGCTACTTTTGATTCTGTTGTGTCTTCCTCTTTTAATTTCTAAACTGTGATTGCTCAGTCTGAATTTACTTTTCAGTTCTTTATTTTTTTTAGCTTAATTAGGTAGTTTTCCAAAATGAAGTTTGTTTTAAATTTTGTGTATGTCCTAAGTTTGTTTTTTGTATTAATGTTTTATGTGTTATCATCATTAATTGAGTTAATTCAATGCTTTATAAATACATTTTTTACTTTGTCATATATTCGTGACATGCATGTATATCATAGACATGCATACAATCTCTTGTTTGTTGTTTTTTCAATAAAATAAAACATTATTAAACAACTCATTTGTTTCGAAGTAACCCGGGTTTCACGACCTCAAAGCTTTCGTCGTTTATACAACACTACTGTTAATTAATAACTTATTGGTTGTCTGAGTTTATACACACCAACAAACTGATACACAAACAAATCTAGGAAAAAACATGGTTCAAGTATATTTGTCTATGTTTTTACTGCGTGCAAATGAATTTGGTCCTAAACCCAGAGTTACGTAATTCCAGAAGATTCGTTGAGAAATTGGAATACACTTCCTGTTCTGATTAGTTTTAGTTCTTTGAATGTAGAACTTCATTAATAAGACATTTCGAACAAAGATAAAATTACAATCCTCGAGGCGGACATCCGGGCATTTTCACCGCCTGGCAACCCTCACGGTGAAAACAAAAGCCAAAAACTCGCAGAAAACGGTACTTGGGGATGGTTGTTGAGACTCCCCTGAACAGTGTAACAAGATTAGCCCTACGTGTGTAACATATATAAATTTGGTTGTTCAGGATTACTTCAAAGTTGAGTTTGGGTTGTTTTCTAAAATTTTCACCGGCTCGACCGGCGTTCTACAGCAGCGCGCAGCGCGCACAGAGCCCATAGAAATGCATGGTACAGTGGTGCGCGTCTTAGCAACGTGGAACGTCTGTGACGTGGATCCGCCCCCCGAGGATAGACCGTATCTTGTAGCGCACTAATCCCGGGAAATAGTATATATCGTGTACAGGAACTGTGAGTCTAATTGTAGAACAGAGGGTTCATGAACTGTATAGAGCACGGAGTAAGCGTCACGTGCGCACATGTGTTGAACTTTGTACCTTGCATGGGAGCTATTACATCTCCTGGTAGCGGCCCAGTAATTGAGCAAGAAGGGAATTGATGAAAAAGCTACCCGAAGAACCGTAGCTGAACACGGCATCCGGAGTATGGCCAAGTATTATGAATGGGAAAACTGGGACGAGAAATGCACTTTGAAAGGTGCTACTATTGGCCATGTTATCCCTGGATTTTTCATCGTAGTCCTCGGGGCTTGGTTCACGTTAAGAACTCATATCGCTTCGTCAAATCGAACTACACATCTGTACAGCCATTGACGGAACCATCAGACGATGGACGCCACAACTTCTTCAGCAAATTTCTGCGACGTCCAGCGGAGTTTTGGGAAGGCGCTGCGCTCCTTGTGCTGAGTTGCATCGGCTTTATAGGGGAACAGTCTATCCCGTATTCGAAATGGGAACTGTTTAATGCCACGGAACCCACTCCAACCGTTTGTACACCGGCGGAGTGGCAACACTGTACCATGTACGCATTTTTTATTACCTACGCCATTGTGCTTCTCCTGTCGCGTACCTGTGTATCTGGTCTGCGTTCTTACGAAACTTTCTTCTGCGCCCTGGCGTTCTTCAGTGAAGCGCTCTTGTTTTATTTCCACTCCCAGCAAAGAAATTCCCTTCTCGATTACACCGTCCATTCGATGATAGTGCTAGCAGCGACGATGACTGCAATCATTTCGACGGCCGAGATCTGGATGGTCAATGACACCTTGCTACCGTTTCTACGGTCGGCGACGATCATGCTACAGGGGACGTGGTTTTTGCAAATAGCTTCAATGCTGACAGGACAATGGGAGGGGAAATGCTCGCCGTGGACTGACTCCCATGCCAATGCCATGTTTGCCACGATGGCAGTCGGTTGGCACCTTGCAGTTAGTATACTATTCACATTTGGGATTCTCGGTATCGTCTCGTTTATTTGCGATAAGGGCAAGTCTTCTGAAAGTCCATCTCCCACAATTAAAGACGATGCCCAGCACGAACCTTTATTACACACATATAAGACGTAGCTACATGTATGTTAGCCATAGTTCACGGTATTAGTAGCAGCATAATATGTTTTTTATTTCGGTAGTTATATCAGTTTGACAATTGTTGCTGGTAGATATTCCAGTCGTAAACCCCACATACTTTATTTGGTCTTTCGAGTAAATACTACGTCACTGCAACAAATACCTACGATTGTAACTGAATTATGGCGGTAAACGCATGTAACGCCAAATACACTGTTATTTATATGATATTTGCTTTATTTTTGCTTCAAATATAATCCTCTTCCCAATGGAGGCGTCGAAGTCTTGTTTAGTAATCTTTACAGATAAAAACAGTTCGACGCAAAGAACATTTCTGAAAATATGTGGTAAAGTCAATGTAAACGTGCATGGGCCTGGTAGAATTAGGGCTAAGCCATTGTTTCGTGGGATGGCAGCTTGGAGGTATGACACACTATTTCTAATTACTGACCGGCGACGTAGGTTAAAAAATGTATATGTTGTCTCATTTGTAAAAGTCTTAACAAGTACATTGTATTTCAAATATATTAATTGATCCGGGCGAGCTGATTGGTTGGGAGGTTGGGGCAAGCTGTTGACAAGTTAACAACATAGACAACGACAAAATAAGCCATTCATCGTTGTTTTTCGTAAAGTATAAGGCATTTTGTATATTAATGTTGAAGTTGTCATTGTCAAGTTATCACATTCTGTCGAATGATTTATTTTATATTTAAATATTAAACTGCGAATTTCCTAACACTTGTGTACGGCAAGTTGATATTTCAAAAGATATATTGACGAGTTCATAGTGGCATGGCATGAGCCAATATCGATTACGTAATAATAATGGGACTTTGACGTTTTATCATATAGTGAGTTAAACTGCTGCTAGTAGGGTGCTTTGTTTTCCACCATAGGTATAGCGCGCGACGCCGGTTATACGACACTATATTGCGACCAATGTAACCTAGCAACTAGGTAACCGGAAGTGGTGTACTACTCATGTATAGTAAATCGTCGGAAGGAAGTTATCTCGATATGCAGAGGGAGAAATGTTTATTACCCCCTCCCACCACCACCACCATAAATCATCATTGATACGCGTAGAGAGGGGCACATACAGTACACGTGCACACCAATTATGCACGCGTGATAAGCTTGTAAACAAATCAACGAAAAATAGTGTGCAATGTTTTCTAGTCGTAGCCAATTGTATTATGTTAGCTATAAAGTTACGACAAATGTCCGCACATTTGATATTAATAATCTGCGCAAATAATGAAAACTAGTTACTTAAAATTGCAAACTGGTTAACTGATTTGTAAACGATTCTTTCGAGGATTTGTTTTTGCAAAATAACTGTTACGCAAAATATCACGTTTATGCTGCCTAATAATTATAAACTTACCGTTCTAAGGGAGGGGGATTATTGAAATGAATATTATTCTGAGTAAAGACAGTGAGACTGTTTGTGAGTCGAATTTGTCCCCGGGGAGATAAATGCTATTTATAATCATTTTTATTAAGTGTAGATTGTGATTTTATGACGTCACAGCTAAATGAAGCCAATATTGTCTTTCCTGACCGGTCATTATTATAGCCGGGCTTGAATTTTAAAGAGGTTTCGAAGGAAACTGCTTCAACGTCAACACCCAAGGGGTTGCCTAGATGTCCTTTCAATTCTCGCTATACTATTACTATACATTAAGGATATTTTATTACATTTTACAATGAACATAGGCGCCCTCTCAACTCTGAAGTTCAAACTCTGTAAAGGTATTCACATGACCACGCACTGACCAATCAAAGCAATTGTGTTATTGAGAGATGAAATTGTAATTACAAATGTATAACTTATTGGATTTTTTCATTTACCGAAAAATGTTGTCAAGATGACGTAATTAACTCAAATTTCAGCCAAAGTTCGGACTTTAACACGTCAACAACAAAATGGGAAAAAGGCAATATCGGTGAAAAAAACACGCTGTTTACCATTTGTACGCACCATCTGTACCTCTGAATGAATGAATGTGCGATTCGTCACGTATTCCCGAGTACACATGTACCAGTATGGTACACGCCCGACAGGTTCCGTAACACGCCCAGTGAGACTGCTTGCAATGTTTATTTATAAATATCATTCCGCACACCAGTCGCTGGCTTGTATCAGTAAACATAGTTATCATAATCGGAGCACTGTCGACGTGTCAGTCCTTGACCGGTGACGAACAATGCGTCTGAAATAATTATACATACACACATGAACGAGCGAAGTAAGTAGTAAACCACGCCATGTCGTTGCCAGGGTGTGTCCAAATAAAATAATATATTGCGTTTATTGTCGATATATGTATCTATCAAATTCAGATGATGATTTTTTTAACATTATTGAGTTGGTGAAATTTTTCTTCGATTAAGAATTAACAAATTTATTTGTTTGCGTCAGCTCGGGCGATTCATCAAAGACATTTTAGTCTACCCCTGACGTTTCGTCCGTATGTCGATAAACTCGTGGAACAACTATGAAGAACATATAAAAACAGAAACAAACTGAAAAATAAAACGATATTAAAATATAGCTTGCTTAAGTTTTCTCTTAAATACAAAAGTCATGATAAATACAATAATTTTTAATGGAAATTAATTAGACGTATCATCCCATGTCCCCAGATCTCACTTCCAAATTAATTATATTGCCCCTTCCCGTCCCGCCAATTACTCACTACCGTATGAACGAATGTTTAGTACAGTTTAATGTATTCAAATAGTGACCATAAATCAGAACTATTATTAAACTGTGTACATATATCTTCATCTGGTCGTTATTTAAATATTAACTAAAAATAAAAATATCAATCAAATTCGATATAATAATTCACGATAGTCATTTTTCTTCGGTGAAGTAGCCGTCACACAGTTACACGCTTAGTTGTCGAGGACTGATACTACGTCGGTTTCGGATTTAACCTGATGTTAAAAATTGTGTTTGAATAGTTACCTGGCAACGGTGGCATCAGCGAACCAAGCTTGTTATTCCAAATTATACATGTGTGGCAGTTGCACTCGTACACGGAGATTCACTGTTTCGAAAACAGGTGCGGCGGTGAATTTCTAAGAGCCAAATTTGCATTAGTAGAAATACGTGACATATATTTTGATATTTTCTGACCCTGCTGTTGAACCAACCACTATAGTCTCATTCTGTTGAACAGTGGGAATCTAATTTATAGATAGCTTCTTAATTTAAAAGTCAGTACGAGTCCAAGCTTCAATCGGATTATCGTATAAAATGCGAGTACATTGTTTGTGTAAATAACGCCCTCTATCGTCTGTTACAGCTTCTGGGACAGTTCCGCCATTTTTTTTACCTGTGGTCATCTGAGATTTGCTAAATTGTAAAATGACAAACGACTACACAACTAAACATAGTTATCGATTTGTTTGACATTTCATTTTATGCATGTCACTAATTTTATCTATCTATGTCATTGCTTTCATCTATCTACGTCATTGCTTTCTTCTGTCTATGTCATTGCTTTCATCTATGTCATTGCTTTCATCTATCTATGTCATTGCTTTCATCTATCTATGTCATCGCTTTCATCTATCTATGTCATTGCTTTCATCTATCTATGTCATTGTTTTTATCTATTTGTGTCATTGCTTTCATCTATCTATGTCATTGCTTTCATCTATCTGTTATTGCTTTTATCTGTCTATGTCATTGCTGTCATCTATCTAAGCCATTGCTTTCATATATCTACGTCATTGCTTTCTTCTGTCTATGTCATTGCTTTCATCTATTTATGTCATTGCTTTCATCTATCTATGTAATTGCTTTCATCTATCTAAGTTATTGCTTTCATCTATCTACGTCATTGCTTTCTTCTGTCTATGTCATTGCTTTCATCTTTCTATGTCATTGCTTTCATCTGTCTATGTTATTGCTTTCATCTGTCTATCTCATTGCTTTCATCTATCCACGTCATTACTTTCTTCTCTCTATGTTATTGCTTCCATCTATCTATGATATTGCTTACATCTATCTATGTCATTGCTTTCATCTATCTATGTCATTGCTTTCATCTGTCTATGTCATTGCTTTCTGTTGTCTATGTCATTGCTTTCATCTATCTATGACATTGCTGTCATCTATCTATGTCATTGCTTTCATCTATCTATGTCATTGCTTTCATCTATCTATGTCATTGCTTTCATCTATCTATGTCATTGCTTTCATCTGTCTATGTCATTGCTTTCATCTGTCTGTGTCATTGCTTTCATCTGTATATATCATTGCTTTCTTCTGTCTGTGTCATTGCTTTTATCTATCTATGTCATTGCTTTCATCTATCTATGTTATTGCTTTTATCTGTCTATGTCATTGCTTTCACCTATCTATGTCATTGCTTTCATCTATCTATGTTATTGCTTTCATCTGTCTACGTCATTGCTTTCTTCTGTCTATGTCATTGCTTTCATCTATCTATGTCATTGCTTTCATCTGTCTATGTTATTGCTTTCATCTGTCTATGTCATTGCTTTCATCTAT